AAAAAAAAAAAAACAGGCTATGTAGTGCAAAGCCATGGAGGTAGAAAAAATGAACATACAGCCTCTGTTTGTAAGAAGTTGCTGAGTGCTTGGCAGAACAAATAATAACAGTAGTGAGTACGGCTAAGCATCAGGTAGCGCCACCATTCCAGTGTAAGCCTGCATCTCCCCACTCTTGTGACTTCTGTCTCTCTCACAAGGTAGACTTTATGGAAACAGAAAATTCCAGCAGCATGAAAAAACAGAAAGCTTTAGAGGCAAAAGTATCTCAGAGAGAAGAGATGATTAAGAAATGCCTTGGAGAACTTACAGAGGTCTGCAAGTCTCTGGGGAAGGTTTTCGGTGTCCATTACTTCAATATCTTTAACACCGCCACACTCAAGAAGCTCGCAGGTAGGGGTGTGTGCACTTCCCATTCCACAGCAGTCGGTGGGCTGAAAGTTCATCCCCTGAGGGGCTAAGTGACAAATATTAACAAAATTTAATAATTTTTATTTAATCTGGATTGAAAACTCAGAGAAACTATTTCTACTCATTCTTGAGATTATTCTTTCAGATATATGCAGTTTTGAATAGATGGTATAATTTAATTATAATTTTATACTTTCCTCTGAGAGTACATAGTAGGTTATGGAAAATAGTATCCTGTGCTAATTATTTGCCTGCTTTATCATCATTACCCATATTTATGAAAAAATGTCTTTACAATGAAGACCTAAGTTTTGTTTTGTTTTTTTAAGACCTAAGTTTCTTATAAAAGCAGGCTATGTTTGTTCTTTGAATCTGGATTTAGTATATTGCTATGTCTTTCATGAAGAAATAATTTGCTAATGGTTATTTCCATGGATTGAAGTGGCTCAGTGCAGAATTTCAGGAGCTAAGTCTCTGAGAAATAAGTTAGTGACATAATGGTCTGATAGTCTTCCTTCATAATGTCTCATGATCTCGAGCCAGGCATGCTGGTGTGTACCTGTAATCCCACTCCCACAAGGCTAAGGCAGGAGGATCACCACTTCTAGACGAGCCTGGACTACGTAGTAAGACAATGTCTCAAATGAAAAAACAAATCTCATACTTTTGAGAGTCTGTCCTCTTTTCTGTTCCCCTTCCTTCCACCAAAATCACTTTATTTCAGTTGTCTATATCTTTGTTTTTCCTTGGGTTGTCAATAAAATGCCCATTCTGGTTTTTATTTGTTTTGTGTTTTTTTTTTTTTTTTTTTATTTATTTATTTATTTATTTTTTTATTTGATGGTTTCCTTTGCTTGTGTTTGTGGTGCTGGGGCTGGACCCAAGGCCTCATGCATGCTGAGCATCCATTGTGCAGTCAACTGAGTGCTGCTACTTTTTTTTTTTTCCGATTATTTCAGTATATTAGTGCTTTATTTCTGGATGAACCTGGATTCTACACAGCTGGCTGCATTTTTTTCTGTTACAGTACAGGCGTACAGGCAGTGTTTCACTGCACATTCCACTTTCATACATAAAAAGCGGCACGAACCGCACTGCCCGAGCTGCGATCAGCAGTGTTCCGTTCTCCCTACTCCAGACCCCGATACCTCACGCTTCCTTAGACTCTCTCAGATGGGTCCGGGGTCACACACCGCGCAGCCAGTTTGTCTTACCCGTGGTCGCACACCGGCCGCTCCAGGGTCAATGATTCTTTGGAGGACCAAGGCAACAGGGCGGGTAGAGGTGGGATTAAGAAAAGAGGCGCAGAGAGCAGAAACCATGAAATAGGATGCCAGGCTAGGGAACTGAGAACAAGGAATAAGGTTTACGGAAGTTTACGAAGCGAATGCTGGAACAATCCCCCACTACAGCTTCCCTCAGCACCTCAACTCCGGCTTACAGGAGCCCACACCACCCGTGCGACAAAGAAAACACCTTATTCTTGCGACCAGCCTTGGAACCTACCCTTTCCCTTTAACCAGACGGACCAATCAGCCTGAGTGCTGCTACTTTTATGATGGCACCAGACACCAGAAGGTGTCGACAGAAGGTTGCACGTCTCTCAGAGACAAAATGTAGTCCTGCTTTATCTACTCCGGCACCTTTTTTTTTAGGCCATGTAAAAATGTTCAGTCATTGTACACAAGAAACTATAAAACTATGGTCATCTCCTCAAAGGCAAAGGGTACTTAATTAGTGCCAGAGACTCCCTGTCACTGTTCCTAGGCTTTTCTGCATAACAGAAATCCCAGAA